ACCGCCTGCTCCCTACCGGGACCCACAGGCAGGCAGAGGCGCCCTGGGGCTGGCTCTGTCTGCAGAGGGAAGGGTGAGGGCACAGACCTGTCCGTGGGCAGGCGCTGCTGCAGGAGGCTGTCCAGCACCGGCTCTTGGTGAGAGCGAGCCAGGAGCAACATCGCCCGCAGCACAAACCCCCTGGGGGTGCTCTGCCGGCTGCTCCGCAGGCAGGTGTAAAGGGTGGTCACAATTTCAGGCACCTGAAAGCAGGAAGGTGAGAAAGAACGGCTCGGTGCAGCTCGGCCCCGTCCTTCTTCAGGCCCAACGGCCAACAACAGAGAACAGCCAGAGGCAAATGGAAAAAACACCTCTCTCACCTCCTCCTTGAGTATTTGCTCTCTGCACTCCCCCAGAAACGTCAGCATCCACCGCCCAGCGGCCTGTGCACACATGGGCCTGGCGCACAGCAAGCTCTCTGCGACGGCGCTCATGAAGTCTGTGGCCTGGCCTCGGGGGAAATATTTGCAGATAATCTGGGGAGAAATCAGAACCACAAGAGACCATGTCACCGGCTGCTCAGATGCAAAACTCACGTCCTGATACCAGCACTCTCACGCATGCACACACACAGACAGGACAGACATGTCTCCTGCCTCCTGCTCGCACCACACGTCCCCCTGCGACAGCTCGCTTGGGCAACGGCCCGAGGCCCTGGAGGGCACAGGGAGACGGGCAGGAGCCCGGCACCGGGCCCCCAACCCACTTTTTGGGGACCAGTTACCTCCGCGATGTTGACGGAGGTCGCCAGCAGAGACTCGGCGGCATCAGTGTTCAGCTTCTCACACAGGTGCCCAATCTCTTCGGTTGCCACTTCCGTGGTCTCAGCTGGAGCTAGGAGGAAGGGGAGGCACGTTCGTGGGGAGCGACCCTCCAGCCTCGCATGCGGATAAAGGAGGACCTGAGGGAGGGTGACGAAGGCTGCGGCGAAGCCAGGGACCCCTGAACGTGCGCAGCGGGCTCGCTAGCCAGGCGAGGGGCCGGCTGCGGAGGGGGATGGACTCTGGCACCAGTGACGACATCCTGCCCTCAGACAGCAGCGGCGGACACCCTGGCCCGCTCTCCTCACCTCCTATTTGGAGCAGGCGGCCCAGGTAGGTCGTTGCCCGCTGGCAGGACGCGGCTGGCACGTCGCTTGTCAGAGGCCCCAGCAGTCCCACCAGGCAGCCGAACTGCTTGCAGGCACGGCCTCGCTGCAGGAGAAAGAGGCAGGCAAAAAGGTCACCGGCAG